TTTTTTTTTTTTTTTTAAAGACACATGTTGTGATTGCACTGTAACAACCTTCCAGGAAGGTCTTGTGGAAGTTGGTGACTGGATGGTTTGAGTGTAGCAGTTTTATTTGACTTTGTGATGTGGGTGGCATGGTTGCAGTGTAGTTAGTGCTGCCGCCTCCCACAAAGGCTGCATGTTTCCCGTAGGCTGCTCAGACGAGCATGTCAGGTGGAATAATCCCAGTGTTTTTCTAGCCTGACTGTCTCAGGCCTGCAGTGTACTCAGAATAAAAGTGAGTCTCTTCCTTATGAGATTGACATACAGCATACGTACAACACTGTTTACAGAACTGAATTTAAAGCACCACAACATACAGGCCATAAAACAGGAAAACTTGTTTTACTGTAGACCTCAAAAAAACAGCAGGGATAAAATAATAGTTGTTTGTTTATTATAAGATATATTTTTATAGATTATTTTCTCTGTAATTCTTGTTTTGGGTCTCACTGGTATTGAGTCTCCAGCTCCTGTTACTGTGCTACATGTTTCCAAGTATTCAACACATCTTAGTTGTTTTAAGGCTTTTTGAACCAGCTTCTCCAATCCCCCTTTAATTTATTCTTTTTACCAGTAAAATGATAACAAATTGCTGTTTGTGATCAAATAAATTTAAAAAATGACTTTTTTTTTTTTTAAGTTGTCATTACTTTCACGTATTGTCCACTATTTAAGCTCCAGCAGCACAGTGAAGCATTCTAATGAGGTTCTGAATTCAGCTATCTTTCTAAAACCCAGAGTTCTTTCCAGAGTACAATAAGTACAATATTTGCACAACTTTAATAATGGTGAAAGCCCCATATCCACCATCCTTTGTTAAGTGTTTCCACTATTTCTTCTCTGCACATGTCCAAAACATCTCAGCCTTGCTTCCCAAAATTGCCTCCCAAGATCCATAGCTACCAGTTAGGTGATCCCTGTTGAATAAGGGAGTTGTTTAAAAGTAAATGAATAAATGATTGGACAATCTAAATAAAGCCAAGCTGAAAATAAATTTAGTACTTTTTGCTGTAAGGGAAAAAATGGTGGTGTTGCTCACACCCTGAAGCAGACTGATCCAAAGCCTGGGCCACAGTAGTTAAAGACTCGATCCATGCCAGAAATACTGACTAATTTAAAGTGGCACAGGACGCGTGATTTATTTAGTTTTTTTAGGGTTTTTTTAAGGGAATTAACCCTGGAAGATAAAATGTGAAGGTTAACATCTGCTGCCACCTGCTGGCTACAAAGGCCAACTGCTATATTTAAATGTTCATTACTTGCGTCTACTTGCGTCTGTTATTAAAAAACACACACACAAAGAAAAAAAGTAACGAATCGCACATTTAAACTTCTGTGGCAGATTTTAGATGTATTTGGGAAACGTTTTACTTTCCAAATAAACCGACGGAAATACTGCGGTGGGCGGTGTCAGACGTCAACGGAAACGGAAGTGAATGAATGAAACGATGGCGATAGGTAACCTGTAACGTCTCCGTGCAACTGGGACGAGGTCAGAGTGAGTTTAGTTTTCACACTTTGTGGCTATTTTGTCCAAACTACGTCTTTAACAACTGCCTTCAACGAGTACATTACGTGCTGACGTTAGAAAGAATAAACATTAGCCTGACGGTGACTATTATAACTGCTGTAACGGTGACGTTTGTAAGCACGTCAGCTGGAAGTACCGCTGGATAAATTAACTGTAAGCCTGTACGCCCTCCCAGACCACCCTACTTTTGACACACAATGAGACAGTTTAGCCTCGCTCTCCTCCGCCACATCTCCTCATCCACTGCCCCCGCACTCACCGGGACGTGCCGCCTTCACAGAAGGCACTGCTTCAATGCTTCACGCCCTCAGTACCGGAGCATCGTCCCGCCTCACAGCTGCCAGCACACACGGACTGAAAGCACAGCAGCCAGCCAGCACATACAGGACCTGAGTGGGCCTGAGCAGAGACTGCTGAATAAACTTTATGACGGGCTGATCGGAGGACAGCGGGCGTCTTTGGCAGAGTGCATCACTTTGGTGGAGACCCAGCATCCCAGAAAGAAAGAGCTGGCCCAGGTGCTGCTGCAGAGGGTCCTGGCTTACAGGAGGGAGCAGGAGAGCCGTAATGGAGGGAAGCCAGTGGCCTTCAGAGTAGGTGTGTAGGCTTAAGTCTGTGGCGGTTGGCTGAACTCAGTTTTTCTTGTCTCTAAGTGTCCTTGAACCTAAAATGTATTAAAATAAGTACATTTAAACTAAGGCTACTGCCATTGTATCTGCATTATAACCTACAGATCACAGTGAAGCTATAAAGACACAAAACCTTCATATGAAGACTATTTTACAGCTGATGTTGTAAAATAGTTTCTCATAAAATAGTTTCTCACTTCACACTTTTTTTTTTTACGATAAAAAACAAAGTCACAGCCAGTAAATATGTCCTAATGCTGAAATCCCCACCACAGTGTGGTGCATTTTCTGGGGGGATGAATTCTCTGAAATTTTCAGGCTTTGCAAAGATTGCAGTAGGCTTATTTGGACCCTTTTGTGTTTTAGTTCGGCCCCCGGGGCCTTATGTTTAACACACCTTGTAGTATAAACACGTCACCTCTCCCATGAATCCTTCATCAGACGGTTTCTGCAGCAGTGGCTCTGATGTTCTATGTGGTGCAAAGAAACAGTCACATAATTTTGCTTTCAGATTTCTTCAGACTTGACCCCAAAGGCAAGTGTGTTTTTAACACATGTCACAACCCGGCTCATAGGAAGTGACAATCAAGAGGGAGACCACACACAGGCAAAGGCTGTAAGACATATTTAATGAAATTAGGTAAAGCAACTTAAAGACCATTTAAAGGACAGAACAGCCATAACTGAAACTTCCATGATGGGTGCCAGACAGAGAGAGCCAGAGCCCAAAACCAGCGACCTGCTGGTTCAGTCAAGGTGTCTTTATATACACTGGGACTGGCCTCTCAGGTGTGCTGCATCAATAATTGGGTCAGCTCCACCTACCTGCAAGAAACAGGTAACAGAAAAAGCAAAACACAAGGCCAGCCCACTGGCCGTCACACACAAAAAAAAGCTGCGTTAAAGCTGCGTTATTAAAGCTTTAAAGCTTTAAAAGCAGAAAGTAGAAACAATATTCAGATTATACTGTGTAGTTACTTTAACACATAAATTTAAATTAGGTTAGTAGAAATCAGCTCTTGGGGCTGTTTGGTGCCATCCATTACAGTTTAACCTCCTTCCCACAAGAATCATGACTACCATTTTTATGCAGATGATCCACAGTTGTACTTGTAACTTTCCTCTAATGATCTAACCTCTGTTCACAAACTAATAAGCTGCATTAATGACCTTAACTGGTGGATGTCTTAAAACCTTTTAGAACTGAGCAGAGACGAGACAGAAAAACCTGTTCATATTTATCATTCATTTCTCGTCACACAGTGAACAAGTCAGGCATCATTTTGGACAGTGATCTCACTTTTGATAACCAGATCAATAAGGTTACCTGTCACTTAAAAGTATATCTAAGGTTAGAAATTACTATTTCAGACTGACTCTGTGCATTTATATCACAAAGGTTAGATTATTTCAACACTCAAATCATCAATAGGCCGTCTTCAGCTTATCCAAAACACAGCAGCCAGAATCCTTACAGGTGCTTGGAAATTTGACCACATTATCCCAGTATTGAAGACCACTTCATTGGCTCTCATTACCATATAAAATCACTTCTGTAAGTTCACAAAGCTCTCACTGGTTTGGCCTTCCAGTACATGTCTGACAACTGAGTCAGACCTCTTAGGTCATCAGATTCTTTTAACTGGTTCCGCAATCAGATCCAAGTAACCTGAAGGTGCGTTCAGTGACTGTGCTCTGCGTCTTTGGAACAAGCTGCCTGCTCACTTGAGATCAATTACATCTGTGCGTACATTCAATAACCGACTGATGTAATGGAATGTGCTACGTAAATAAAATTGTCATCGTCACGGTTTGTTGCAAACTGACGAGGTCTCTTTGATTTCTCAGGTCTGTCTGGACCCCCCGGAGCAGGAAAGTCCTCCTTCATCGAGGTGGTGGGGAAGATGTTGACAGGACGTGGACATAAAGTTGCAGTGCTGGCTGTCGACCCATCCTCCTGCACCACTGGGGGTAACCTCTGACACGTTTTATTATTATTATTACACGTATTATTTTGAGCTTTACAGCGCGCAGGGAAATGTTATGTAATGTTTAAAGATGCTGGCTTTAGGTTCAGGGAATATTGTGCTGTTTATGTCTGGCTGTATTAAAGTGCTTTTTCTGATTTGTGTATAAACATACGATGACGGAGATAAATGTTCATATCGGTCAAAGTTTCAAATAACGAGGTATGTGCACATGAGCAGACTGTTCCTTTCTGCTCTTGGTGTAAAGTCACTGAGCAGGGATCTCTTTAACACGACCATTTCAGGTGCAGAGCCCCGCCCACCTGCTGTTCAAAATTGTTTGCAAAGGGCAGCAGAAAGTTGTCTAACACAGGTGGTGGCTTTAAAGAGAGAGAAGTTAAAACTGCTTGCTTTAAACCATTTATTTTCCATAAATGAATCAGGCTATTTTTATTTGAGAGAATATAAAATATAGAGCAGGAAACAAGCAGAATAGGTCCCCTTTGAATAGGCTGAAATCACTGAGTAATTACAAGCAGCACCGCACAGTAAAACTGCTGCCAAGTGACTCATCCCTCTTGCTGCAGGGTCTCTGATGGGCGATAAGACTCGTATGACTGAGCTCTCAAGAGACATGAACGCCTTCATCAGGCCATCGCCGACCTCAGGAACACTCGGAGGTGTCACCAGAACAACCAACGAGGCCATTGTTCTCTGTGAGGGAGCAGGTTACGACATCATCCTTGTGGAGACTGTAGGTAAGATGCTGTGACGCGAACCCTTGGAGTAAGCGTGTTAAAGCCATAATCTCAGCAAGTATTTGTTCTTCTGCTTGTACTAAGTTTTTTTTTTTTTTAATGCAAACATAATTTGTTCAGTGTGATGTCTGATAGCAGCGCCAGTCATCAGGCACCTGCTCTGCATCTCCAGGCTAAAATTTATTCACTGTGAGTGCTCTGAAGTTTGTGAAAGCTCATGATTATTCATCAGCTTTCATGATTTTTGAATGACTGAGCAAGTCCTCACCAGGACCAGCTTTCCTTTAAATTCTTTAGATTTTCTATATTATTTTGGTAAACAAGTTCTAATGTGGTGCTGACAACGCAAACGCAGGCAAATATTTAGTGTGACTGTCGGATGTATCATTTGAAAAGCGTGAGGCTGTATAAGACTGTAGATTTAGTTTCAGATGAGAGGATACTGTGTCGTATCAAACTTCGTCGTGTTATCAGTCAGCAGTGATCGTTAAACTAGTCCTCTGTTTTTTTGTTTTTCCTCCAGGAGTCGGCCAGTCAGAGTTCGCAGTAGCAGACATGGTTGACATGTTTGTGTTGCTGATTCCACCAGCAGGGGGCGATGAACTCCAGGTCAGTGAAAACAAGCCTGCTTCAGCTCATCTGTGGAGCTGGAACAAAGTAATTTGTGCTAATGTGTAGGGGAATAAAACCAGTTTTTGATTGAGCTGCTGTCATTTATCAGCCGCTGATTATCTGATATCAACGATCTTTAAATTCATCAGAATTATAAAACCTAAACTAAATGACCTAATGAATATATTTATGAAGCACTGTTTATAAGCAAAAGCAGATTGTGTGTCCACATTTTTTTTGTAAAGATAAACATGCTCACAATAACTATATGCTCGCCACTTAATTAATTAGGAAAATGATTCACTTCATTAGCCTTCCTCATGATGATTAATGCTACAGTGATTATGGTGGGACAGTACGTAGCTGAAGTGGCATTTGTTTTAATTATAATAACTATTGGTAATGTGAAAACACTCGCACATGAACACATGAGGAAAGCAGCACACTTCAATTCATTCCAGTAAATTAGTGCTTAATAATCTACCTGTGTTACTCAGAGTCAAAATGTACAGTTAGCTCATGGTCTACACATACCACCATATATTTTTATATAGGTATGAGATTATTTGAGCTAACCTAACTATATCAGAGGTGTTGTAATGTGCAAAAGTTTCATTTCTTTAAGTGGTCATGAGCAATATTTCTCCAGGCTTTCTGAAGGACTTTCAAAGTTTTCCTTTGCTTTTTCAGTCCAGTTCTCATACCTGGGGTTAGGGTTAAGGGTCGGCCATTTACTTTAGCACAGTTCTGTACAGAAAGAAAATATTTATACAATTAGATTCCATCTATCTTTGGATATCGACTGCAAAAATCAGCCATGTTGAATGGAAAGAAAGTCTTAAGACTTTTAAAGTCTCAGGCTTGAAAACACTTGACCGCAGCTCCATGCAGGAGCCTTGAGGAGCTCAGGCATCAGGCAGCGTTTTCATCGTTTAATCATCCTCCTCTCTAATGACAAAATCTCTGTTCAGGGCATCAAGAGGGGCATAATCGAAAGGGCCGAGTTGGTCGTGGTGACAAAGTCAGACGGAGACCTGGTGGTGCCGGCCAGGAGGATCCAGGCGGAATACACCAGCGCACTCAAACTGCTCAGGAGACAGTCCAAATCCTGGAACCCTAAGGTGTGTGTGTAGTGATGTAGTGATGCAATGATGCAAGGAGTTGGTAACAAGGATTTGGTGGTGTTTGGTGTTTGCCCTGCTGGGCAGCTGCAGCACATGGACCCAACAAGGTATCCCACAGAGAGGTCAGCTGACCCAGGAGGAGGAGGAGTGTGGGGGTGGGTCATCATAACATCACGGCATCAGTGCTGCAGTGTCCCACCTCACCCGCTCGCCTGGCTAGCCCTGTCCCTTTGTTTTCCCAGCCCAGTGCTGCATCTGCCCACCGGGCAAGCAGCCAGAAAGCACCCCCACCTACCAGCCCTTATTACCCCCACCCCCCGCTCCCAATGCACTGGATACTCGGCTGCTGTGTCATGCATTTCACTGATTAGAAAAGTGCTCGTTCTCATAAAATCTGATAGGCTTCTCTTACAGCTCCTCTCTCTTTATGCTTCACGCTCGGCTTTGTTGTGCATATTCGTGTCTGTTTCCCGACTGTATGGCAGAGATTTAGTCTCTTGCTCTGCTTTGTGTGGCACTATGATTTGACATAAATACTATTTTGACTTGATGATTAAATTCTTGGTGGCATGTGAGGTGACTTTTATGGTTCTCTTCACAATCACTTAATCGTTTGGTCTATGTTATGTAGGAAATTGCAAAAGGTAAATGGTCCCAGAGTTCAGAAGCAAATTAAATTAAATTGAATCTTTGTTGTCCATCCAACAACCCAAAACCCCCAAAGACTGATTACACTGATGTCATCAGAAAAAAAATGGCAAACCTCAGATTTTGGACTGTGAAACTAGAAAAAGGTTTTAGACATGTTGCTTAAAAAACGATTACATTCATATACACAGTGCATGCACATCATGAATTAACTGTGATTAATCACATTTTTGGAAACCTGCGCTTAGTTTTACTAGTCACACCCAGCGCTGGTTATTGCCAGACTGGCTGCATCAAGAAATCACTTAAACAGACTCTGTCTGATAAAGTGAAGCCGGCTAAAAGATCTCAAAGAGCAACACAATCTAAAGAAACTAAAAACAGCTGAGAGATAAATTTGTTGATATCTATTAGTCTGGAAAGAGTTACAAAGCTGTTTATAAGGCTTCAGGACTTATAACCACAGTGAGAGCCAATATTCACAAATGGAGAAAACTTGGAACAGTGGTGAACCTTTCCAGGAGTGACCGGCCTACCAAAATTACTCCAAGAGCTCATCGAGGACTCAGCCAGGAGGTCACAGAACAACCCAGAACAACATTCGGAGAACCGCAGGCCTCACATGTCTCAGTTCATGTCAGAGTTCATGATTCAACATGAGTCTGGGCAAAAAAGGCAACCATGAGAGAGTTCAAGGTGAAAACCACTGCTGACACAAAAAGAACACAAAGGGGCTTGTCTCACATCGCTGCATTGTCGAAGTCTCAAATCCAAGTGAGATTCTTTGGCGTGACCTTAAAAAGGCCGTTCATGCTCGAAAACCCTGCAATGTGTCTGAATTAAAACAACACTGCAAATAAGAGTGAGACGAAATCCCTCCACAGCGATGTGAAAGACTCATCGCCAGTTATTACAAACACTTGATTGCGGCTCTTACTACCAAGCCAGGAACAACCAGTTATCAGGTTTAGGGGGCAAATACTTTATCACATAGGGCCGCACAGGTTTGGATAACTTTTTTCCCATCTTATAAACAAAATCATCGCTTAAAAACTGCATATTGTATTTACTCAGGTTATCCTCGTCTAATAATAAAATGTGTTTCATGATCTAAATAATGCAGGTTTGACAAATATACAAAAAAAAAATAGAAATCAGGAACACTATGATTTTATGTCTCTGCTCTTTCGTATTTCCAATTTTATTTTGGTGCTTTTAGATTTAAATGTTGTTTCAGATGAGTTTTAAATCCCTTTTTGTAACTTCACAGCACTTCTAATATTGGGTTTGTAAGATTAGATAGATTAATTTTGATTTCAGTTTGAGCTTCAAGGCTACTTTATTGTAAAACCAGGAGACGGACAGACCGACATCTTTGAATGGCATTTCCAAGACATGTTGTGTTAACACAAATCTATTTTAGATGTCACGAGAGCCGTAGGGTTATTGAAGCTTTCTTTGTTCCCTGGTGTTTTTAGAAATGCGATACAAAATTCCTCAAGTGCCTCTTTAAGAGCTGTTACATCCAGATTACAAGAAGCTTGTTTTCCCTCTCAGCTTTTAGTGGCTTCTTGATGATTTCTTACGGAGGAACAATGAGAGTGGCTTTAAAGCTTTCAATGCTGCGACCAGCGGAAACAAAACCAATGTCACGGAGACGAATATTAGAAAGATTTGTGTAACACCTGAAAACCTGGAGAACTACAAGCATTTGTGTAACTAGATACCAGCAGAGGTAAGGCGGTCTGTGAATGTATTAAGTAGTTTTAAAAAGATCATTTATATGAGAGAATATGCTGTAAGTACAGTAAGTCACATGATCTTTCTTCTTCTCACCTTAACGTTGTAACTGGAACATGTGTAAGTGGATTTTGATCACAGCTGCCATTTATATTCTGAGCTGTTTAAGTGACTCAGATTTGTTTATCACTTCATTTAATAGAAGACGGCAATGAAAGGATCTGCACATCTGAATGGAGCTTTGTGTCTTCCTGTAAACCTGGAGCCCGCTTTCAACAAACTCAATGTTACTCTGAATTTCATCATGCGCTCTCGGATCTGCATTAAGCTTTGAGGAGAGACGTGCAGCCGAAGTACTAAACACATAAGTGACATTTATCCTCGGATTGCCTGCGTGAACAAGGTGTTAAGGACAGACGACTGCTTGATATTTGCGTAGTGACTTGACAGCTTCTTGTAGGCTGGAGGTGCACTGAAAGGAAAAAACCTTAAATGCAGAACTCCCAGACTCTGATGCATTTACCGCATCCAAAATGTTCTCTTAATGATCGCGGGGGTGGGGGGGTGGGGGGGCGCTTAATGCAGTTTTAAAGCCTGTCTTCGGTTAAACCTTTATTTCTAATAATAACCTCTACATTTATTGTGTATTGTAGGAAGCTCAGGTTGGCTTTTCCCAAGAAGACTTCCTGTTCAGCAGTCTGTACTGGTGAACCGGTAACCTGCTCAGGATTTAATCATCACTGGCATTTGAAAAACGTCAATGTAAATGTGCCACGGTTGGCTCAGCAGTGCATGTTGCACTTGTAGTTGAAAAATAAAACATTAAAGCTGAAGTCGACAGGAAAAAATGAGACATTTTAAAACATAAAAACACACATGTATCGGTATATCAAAGTGAACGTATAAACATATCCGTTGGTCGCATGGGGACGAGCTCTGGTTTGTTTTCCCACCCCGGCGTGGTTTGTTTGGGGAGACGTGGTGGTGGTCCCCCATCCAAGCTCAGTCAGACCCAACTAACAGGTGTATGCAAAAGACCTTCCTGTAGCCAGATGTGCAGGTATGCATGCATGCAGAGAAGACAAAGTGCAGCAACTGTCCGTAAAACTAATGGAAATCCTGCAACGGGCTGAATGTTTTCATGTGAACTATCTAATAATTTTCATTTCATTTTGACTTTATTTTGACTTCAGTTTAGTTGCAGTTAGTTTTCAGAGAAGTATTTCTTACTACACTTTGAAAATGTTTAGTTTTTGTTTAGTTTTTATTAGTTTCAGTCTTTTATTATTTTAAGGAAAATGTTTGTCAAAAAATTTAAAAAATTACAGAACGAGAGAAACACAAAACATTTCAAATGCAGTTGTCTCACAGTCTTGTAGACGCCCTGAGTTTCAGTAAACACATTCATCAATGCCTCGGCATTTTCACCAAGCTAACAGATGCTGAAGCTAAAGATAGTTCCTCTGTTTTTATTTTAGTTAGTTTTCCAAGTTCACAAAATTGTTTCAGTTCACTTCTTGGGGCGATCGTGGTTCAAGAGTTGGCAGTTCGTCTTGTAATCGGAAGGTTGCCGGTTCGATCCCCAGCTCTGACAGTCTAGGTCAGTGGTTCTTAACCTTGTTGGAGGTACCGAACCCCACCAGTTTCATATGCGCATTCACTGAACCCCTCTTTAGTGAAAAATAAAATATGATTTTTTTTCAAATTCAAGACATAGATATGTTTTTTATTGGTGCACAAAATGAGCCGTGCATGTCACGGTGGAGGCTCTGCCGAACCCCTGAGACCGACTCACCGAACCCCTAGGGTTTGATCGAACCCAGGTTAAGAACCACTGGTCTAGGTCCTTGTGTCCTCGGGCAAGACGCTTCACCCGTTGCCTACTGGTGGTGGTCAGAGGGCCTGGTGGCGCCAGTGTCCGGCAGCCTCGCCTGTGTCAGTGCGCCCCAGGGTGGCTGTGGCTACAATGTAGCTTACCATCACCAGTGTGTGAATGTGTGGATGACTGAATATAGTGTAAAGCGCTATAAAAATACAGGCCATTTTAAAGGCCATTTCATTTTTTTTCCAAACAGCCCACATCTTACCAGCATCCAGATCTGTTGATTTGTATTAAAAATTAAAAAACAAAATCCTCCACTGTTCAGCTGTCATGAAGAGAGGAAACTGCCATAGAAGTCTAAAGTATACGGAGCTGTAAATGTGCTTTTTGATACTGTTTAACATTAGATTCAATGGGGATTGTTTCGGTTTTGGGGTCAGCCTCAAGTGGCCATTAGTGGAACTGCGGTTTTTGGCTCTCTTACTTAACCTTTCAGCTCTGGAACCATTCAGCTTTCTTAAACATACTCTTCCAGAGATCTGAACTTACCTCTGGCAGCGGCCGTCATTTTTGTGCTACTGACATGACCTTGAAATGAAAATGATGATTTGCTTTAAAGACTTCATGACATACAGGAGGCATAAAAATCCATTTACAATATAAAACTTTCTCTGTTCTGTATATTTTGCTGTGACTTTGAAACGCTCATTTTGAACAGCTGAATCATAAATCTTCCCACCCCTCACCTTCTCCACCCACAGGTGGTGCGGGCTTCCTCACAAACCTTCGAGGGCATCCCAGAGGTCTGGGCCAAGATGGAGGCATACCGGGAGGCCACGCTGGCCAGCGGTGAGCTGCAGGGCAGGCGGACGGCCCAGCAGAAGGTGTGGATGTGGAGTCTGATCCAGGAGAGCGTCCTGTGCCATTTCCAAAATCACCCCGGTGTCAGAGAAGCTCTACCCCACCTCGAGGAGAGGGTCACCAAAGGAGCCATCTCTCCAGGACTGGCTGCTGACCTGCTTCTCAGAGCCTTTTCTTCATCCTCTTCATCACAGTAATCACTGGGACTGCACTGTCAGATAAGGAACAGATAGCTGATCAGGGTCACTCACTGAAAAGGAGAGCGAGAAAATGACCTTGGCTCTGCGGTTTGCACAAAAAGACTCGATCTCTGCTCTTTTAACACACGATTTAAAAATTTAAATACGTGAGAGTCACCCCCCGTCTACAGAGGCTTCGCTTTCTGATTGCTTTCATCCAAGTCACAAGAGCAGGAAGAGCGCTGACAGTCGTCATTTCTCGTCAGCGGCTTCGAGACGCACTCGCGTTTTGCAAAAATGAGACGCGTTTTATTTGAGCTGCGAGATGTGAAACGCGGAAGCGACCGTCTCTTTTGGACACTACGGACAAGTTTTAACGAGATCAGTGAAGGAGGATTCAAAAGTCGTGTGGTTGCAGTTGAAGAATAGTTTGAGCGGTATCTTTCACTATTATGAACGGCGTGTTACAGTAAAGCTGTGACTCGTTCCTCACGATCAGTAATACCAGTAATAACAGCCTATTTGTGAGCCACAAAGCGTCAATGAAAGGATCGGGCTTGGGTAGAATCGATTTAGTTAGGGCCCCGTGTTTCTGTTGCTGAACTACTGAAGATGTTGCTCTAATAACAGTTTTTCCTCAGGAAAGCATCGAGGCTTTGAATCTGTGTTTTTCTTTTTTTGTTTGTTTTTTAATCCACTGTTTGGTTTCTATTAAAGAACAATTTGAATCTTAAGTGGACAAGTGAATTACATTAAATCTGCCGGCGCAGTTGGCCGAGCTCTTCTACCGCTGCGTGTTTGCTCACGATATGAAAAAGGGCCGAGTGATTAATGTTACCTCTACGAATATTAGCCCTGAGATTTGTCAGAGATTTAATGACATTTCTTTTCGGCTCTCCGGAGCCAGAAATGTCAGCGCTGGGCTTCGTCTGAATGACTCAGCTGTACGGTTGCTTCGAATTCAGGCAAAACACACTTTAATATTTCCAGAATTAAGTTCATACTGCGCTGCGCTCCCGGACACCACCGGAGGACTGAACACAAAGAGAAGTCACGCACTCATAACGCCGGTGCAGCTACTTTATTACTTTATTATTTAAAGAGGCTTCTGCAGCTGCTTTATTCAGGGACCCCGCAGCAGACGCCGGTATCAGCGGCATATTCTTATACAGTCTAATCTATACACAGAGTATTTCCCACCCATTATGCATTCGTAGGCTGCACCTGTTATTTTTAGTGTTTGTTAATCCGTCAGCTATTCTTTTTTTAATATATAAACTTATGTAAACGTACACATCATAATTTCCAGACTCCAAACTGACATCTGAAGACTGAAGGAAAGCCTGGCTGTGGCCTCCAGTTTTAGTCCAGGAGCCACAAATTAAGTTTCTCCTGTAGGGTTGTAAGTGTTCTTTAAACCAGAAGAAAATGCGAGATTATGCGAGTCACATAAAGTTCAAATCCAGTTTGTTGATTCGATTTTCTGAATTCGCACACTGGAGTATTGTCTTCAACCCACCGGGCGAGCAGGTGTGTGAATGCGATGACTCGAGAACTAGGCGACGTAGGATTTTCAAATTGATGCCATAGGTGCATCTACTAAAAATCTCAGATGAGTTCAAATCCCGGTGACCTCAATCTAAAGGTCAAGGTCACAGGTCAAGTTTTCTGAAAGTCTAAAGAATCCCTTTCGTAACATTCTTGTCCCAGGTTGCCCTGTCTCCTTATCCTCTCTTTCTTCTTCTCTTCCTCTCCATCGCTACCCACCGGTTGTGGCAGATGGCCGCCTGTCCCTGAGCCTGCTTCTGTCAGATGTTTCCTCGCTCACGGGGAGTCGTGTGATTGTTGGGGTTTTTTCTCTAATACTGTAGAATCGTTACCTTACAGTGTAAAACCCCCTGAGCTCACTGAAAATGCCAAGAAATGCTAAAACAAAAATATATCTATGAGCAGGCTGTTTGGTTTCTGTAACCATCATAGTCCAACAGTCGAGGCTGTCAACACAATGATGTTGAAGAACTCCCTTGTGTTTGTCCCGTTGGTCTAATTATGAGATTGTGTACACGTGGCATTAAATTTGTGTAAACTTGCTGGTACTTCTGACACACAGTAAGTAACTTAAACTGGTATTGAGAACTTATTACGTTTTGCATTATGGGCTGGTTCTTATATAGCACTTTTCTACTTGAGCACTAAAAGCAGTTTTTACAACACAGGCATTTTTTAGTACATCCAAGTCCTTTCTATCCAACATTCACACTCCAATGAACGCATCGGGATCATCATCTTGGCACGCAGAGCTGGAGCAGCCAGGAATTGAACCCCCGACCTTTCAATTAGTAGATGTCCTGCTCGACCTCCTGAACCACAGCCACTCTAAGCTTACAGCACCTGGTATTCCCAGGCGGTCCATCCAAGTACTAACCGGGCCCGACCCTTGCTCAGTGTCCGAGATCAGGCGTGCTCAAGGAGGTAGGATTGTAATCCTGCTGGAACAAGATCCTGGGTTCAGATCCAACAGTTTTTCAGTGTGGAGTTTGGATGTTCCTCTCCGTGCCTTAGGGAGGTCTTTCCAGGTAATCAGGCTGCTCTTCCCAAAAAGACAAGCATATGGAAGCTTGTTTCTACCACTGGGCAGATAAAACAGGTCATCTATTAGTCAAAATTTCAACTCACCCAGAAGTTAGACTCATTAAGTCAACATTTTGCAATAATAACTTGAAATTTTCACTCATCTCTCATGAAAATTTCCAGTCTGTCTAATGCTCTGTATTGCAAGTTTTATGAAAATGTATTTTTGATGAGGCATTGTCACCCCTGTTATTGGCATAGTTTTGCAGATCATAAATCGAATTGGACAATGACTAAAGCCAAGGTCATTAGAGTCTTTATAAAATCAGTTTTTATCATTTGATAAATCAGAAAAATATGAATAAATGTTCATAAATCAGTGTCTGAATGCTGTATAAATAAAATGCATCTGTTTAAAAAAAAAAAAGCAGCTTTAGAAATATAAACAAAGTTTGATGTAAGAGCTGAGTTGGAGATTTCTTGCTTGGAATAAACACGATTACTCTGAATGTGGCCTTTCAAGCTTGTTGTAATGTCACGTCACTGAAAAACTAATATTTATGGTTTTCAAATAAAACGTATCACCATGGATATCATATGCAAATGAGATGTTGTCATTAAACATGCACACATTTGCATAAATGAGAAAAAGTCCAATAAGCTCCTGAATTTGTATTTTAGATATTGTCTTTCTGCTAGTGTGGAAGAATCACTGTTATGTAACCAAAATGGTACATCTGACTTACTTATGCCTGAAATATCTCAGCTTTAAAAGCCGGCAGGTGTAGTTTGAAGCAGTCACAAGATCAACAAGGCGTGATTCATTTCCTCCAGGTCACTAAGAACTGGATTTGCTTTTATACACTATGTAAATAATCTTTATCGTACAATCAGTGCTCTGTAAATGTAAGTTTGTGCTTTCTTCAGCCACTAGAGGTCTCCCAAATCCCACTCAGCTGTGGGTTCATTATCCTAATGACTGAACCCTCAGTGCCAACCGCCCTCCCTTTCTTAGCGCCCCCGCCTCCTGCCCTCCATCCATTCCTCATCGAGGTTGCCTAGGGTGCCGGGTCACTCAGAGGTGAGGACATCAACAGCTGCCACTCTCCTCGAGGTCGAGCTCGAGGTACTGTAGACCCAGCTCTCTGTACACAACCCTCCTCTGCTTTTTTCCCCCTCTCTCTCTCTCAATCCTCACTGAAAAGCAGAAAGGAGCCAAGCTTGGTACAGTACAGAGCAGGAGGGCTGAGTGTGTGATTGTACAGCTTTCTCAACCTCCTCAAAGGAAAAAAAAGGGTGAATTCAGTGCTAATCTGTGCTTGTACTTTCTAGGCTGCTTTGGAAATACTGCGAAAGCCCCCACCAACCGCTGGACGGGCTCCCAGGTCGCTGCTCGTTTGCTCCCGCCTGCGTGTGAGAGGAAGAATGCCCCTTGAATGCAGATGGATTCATTAGGTCTGAGTAACACCCATCTCCTCCATCATGCTGACACAAACACATACACACTGTAACTGCTCTGGCTTTGCAAAAGGGAACAGTGAGTTCTGCAGCTCTGGACTCCCTCCACGCGCACACACACTCACACATCCATGCATATACACACAGTTGTCTCCAGTGTAAACAACACCATGCGGTTTCACTAAGGAAGATTAACTCAAATGCTGCCGGATCATGTTCAGCCATCTTAGCCCAAACACAGGGCCCGTCCACATGTGTTTAGCATTTTGCCGGATCTCTTGAATGTAAGCAGAGGACAGAGACAGGCTCTTTGATGAGGTTTTCTTTTACTGGTTGTTTTTTTCATGTTTAATAGAGGAGGGGGGCTTACATTCACAGCGTTTCATTGTGTCAGCAGTCTGAAGTCAAAATGCCTTCCTTGGTTAAAGACCAAACTAAGAACTGTTGTGATTGTTGCCTAAAAACTCAGCTTAACCCTCTCCAAGAAAAAACCTCAGAGCCCGAATGCTGAAAAATGAGGCTACAGCACATGTCAGTAAACAGAGCGGGTGTACTGTAGCGCAGAGAGGCACACATGTTTCTCCTCTTGTAGGATGCATCAGCGTAGTAGTTTGTTTTCTGCTCAGATCAGAGCGTGAGGGAAGCCTGACAGAGGGAAATGTCAGTCCTGCTACCAGCCACATTTTTGGAGATGTGTGTGTGTGTGTGTGTGTCTATGTGTAGTGTGACAGCCGGTCATGGGCTGCTGATCCACAAAGCCTCAGCCATCTCTTCTATGTTTGCTCTCCTCCTCACACACGAGCACATAACATCACACTCGCCCACCTTCCTCCTCCTCCCCCTCTCCGTTCTCTCTTGTTTTATTTTTTTGTTTTTTTTTTCTGCCCCTTCTTACACACACGAACATCCGTCCGGCTCACCGCTTACACATCTTGTACATACATACGAGCCATCCATCCATCCCCTGTCGCACACACTCGAGCTGACTGCCTCGTTGCCAACCCGGCCGCTCTGACTCGCCTGGCTGCGCTGCTGTCCCTCTGTAGTGACAGATGAGTGTGTGTGAGAGAGAGAAAGAGAAGCATTTCCTCCAGGCTCGGGACTCGACTTTTGAGACAGCCACAAAAACGATGCGAGGAGCCCCCTCGTTTGCTTGCAGATGTAGCACCCCACTCATTATGCTGCTCCGGTGGGTCACTGTGCAGCCTCTTCATAAGAAGACCCTCATGGCGACACGTCTTATTATATCAGCTGCTGAGATGGATGTTAATGGTGGGCTGCGCTGGGCGTGCTTGCGTGCTCTCCAGCCTGTGGAGTGATGAGACGTGGTGGTTTGGTATTCAAAGTGCATCTCATTGCATGGGCTAATTCTATTTAACCTGGTGAAGTCTGCCGGCTGGCATGGTCAGAATGCCCCAGGGAGAGACCACTGTGTACCTCTGCTTTATTACGCACCTGAGGAGGCTCGCTCTCCCACACGCTCCTCTGTTTGCTATGTGTAATTTACTGGGCAGCCTGTGGGCTAAGGCCTTCATCTGCAGGAAGGCGCGAATAGAGCCTTGGCGCCAGTAATTGGACTTTAGAACTGATTGGGGAACTTGATTGACCCCCGGTAATGGATTTGAGTGAATAATTATTTGTAGTTATGGTTGGAAGATGATATCAGGGAGAGAGAGACCAATCCCACCAGTGTGACTCACCCCTG